ATATATATATATATATATATATATATATATATATATATATGTATGTTATTACTATTATTATATTATTATTACTGTTATTATTATTTTATTATTGCTGGGGGGTTTTTTTCATAAATTAATTTCACTACAATTATATTGTTATTGATGTTAATCTCTCATTTATTATTATTATTATTATTATCTTTATTATTATTGTTATATTATTATTTTTGTTGTTATGTTTTTTTCGCCTTCATCATTGTTTCCCTGGTAGGCATCTTTTACAGGGACATGTTCCCTTTCCTGCCTACCAGACTCATTACGTTTTGAGTTTTGAGTGAAATAAAATTATGAATAATAATGATAAATGACATTTCAATACCAACATCTTTGGAAACCATGGAGTCTCATAATATTCAACATCATCATCAGCACCATTCCATCATCATCATACTCATTAAATGTATAACGGAGAATGAATAAAGCAGTAGAAATGTGGTTTTGTATTGTTTATGAAAACAAAAAACATATGATTTAAATATAGTCAGAAATATAGAATAATAATGATAAATGACATTTTATTACCTACATCTTTGTAACCAGTCTCATAATACACATCATCATCATCAGCACCATTCCATCTCCATCATCGTTATCGTCGTCGTCATCGTCGTCATCATCCTCATCGTCATGCTCTTTAAATATATCACAGAGAATGAACTTTAAATACAATACCTGTATATATATTGATGAACTTGATGGTTGATATGTTTTCAAATTCCTTTTTAGTTTTGACAATCCAGCTTCACAGGCTTCATATCCAGCCCGCCATCTCACCTATTGGTACTTGCTTCCAATCAATGCTTGGTTGCTGCTTTGCCCATCTAAACTGTGCTGTGATTGGACAATGGGTACTATTCCACTTGTTGAGTCATTCCATGATCCTCGTAACTTAGCAACAGTTCTCTTTATCTTCATCCTTGGAAGTTTGGTTCTATATGTTGTTGTCAACAGTAACCACCTGTCTAAACAAGTCATTATGGTAAGTGATTTATATGTAATAAATGTTATATAAAATATGTGTGTATTAATTAATATACAATAATAATAATATAAGAAATTAAAAAATTACATTTAATTAAATAATTCATTTTCATGTACAGTACAGGAATGCTACATATACAATTAATACTTAATGTCAGTAGACATGTTTAGGCCAAAATGATGTTATGTACTGTATCATACCCTATCAGCAAGTGGAATGCTCAGGATATTTCCAATCCTGAACAAGTAAAAGGATGAATATGGACTCAAACATAATTCTGATGTAACATCATATGTATGCCACTATTCAATGTCATTATTCTGACTGCCTAGCTGGCTGGCAAGTAAGAACACATGAATGTACACATAGTTTAAAAGAGAATAAAGCTTATTATTCCATTTGTATCTCAGAGGGTATTTCAAAATTTAGAGAAAATGGCAAAGTTGTTATATCCATCTCGTTCATATATCACATCCCCAATTATTTTGTTCTTTTTTTATTTCTTCAATCTTTTACTTTAGAGGAAACTAGGATGGTTTTTAAAAAGTTTTTTTTTAAAGTAGGACGGTTTTTTAATATTTTATTTTTTGTTATTAATAATCAAAATTTCTACACATCAAATTCTCTTTGAAAATTTGTACTTCCGTTTAAGGTTTCCTGAGGATGTAATTAGAAATTGACCTAAGGGGTTGCGAGATTTTAATCTTTCCACAAAAGTCAAGTATGTCAAAATTATGCATTAGATATAATAGAAAATCAAAGTGGACGACTGTAATCTAAAAGACAAAATCGAAGTAGGAGAATTAGTCATTCAGCTGTTGACATTTTGATATGTTTACCAATCTTTAGAGTATTTGAGATCATATCTGAAGCTGCTTTGCTTATTGAAATACTCCTTCCAGCTTTCTTTTATTCTAATTCATATTAAAGTATTGTTAAAGAATGAAGTCAACACAGGCTTCCAAAATGAATTTCATAAATAATTTGTAATAAATGTTTAAATGGTTGTAAAATTTGGTGCAGATGTCTTAAAACAGTATCTGACGCTGATATTTAGGCAGCTTGCTATCCTCCTAAGCATTTTGTTGGATGGGTGCCAAAATCTGCAATATAGTCACTTCTGTTCCAAAATAATTAAAATTTCCAGTAATGATAAAAATACGTACTAGTAAAGGGTCGTAGAAATAACTGATAGATAAAATCATAAAATTGTCAGGTCGTAAAAATTAAAGGTTTTTATGGTACTGTTTTTATAGTTCCCATTACTTGTCTGAGGTCGCTGTTAAGTACCATTACTTCTAGTAAATTCTCATAAAAACGTGTGATGTTAGATGTAATAATTATCACTAGTTTTCTCTAATTTACAGAAATTTTCTGTACATAGTTTTACATAGAAATATAAATTACGAGACCAGAATCGAGTATAGAATCACTCACTCACTCCGTTGTCTGCTGACAGACTCAAAGTATAGAATAATACATAGCAAATAATACATATTGTCAAATTATAATAATATAATTATATATATGAGATGACATTTTAATGATCAGTATACTAATGTATTAGTAATTTACTAAATTATGTTCAAGTGATTTACTAGCAATGGAATATCAAATTATCTAATCATGTTTTGAAATTATTCTCATTAAAGGCAATCAAATCTGATGCAAGAGATTTTAAGCATTAAGATGCCTTTCACACAACCTGATACTTTGTGTATCATTTGTGTGTGAGATATATTCATAAACTGATATCTTACTGTGTAAATCTTAATCTATATAAAATCTAGTTCTTCTAAAAATATAACCACCTAAATGTTATTTGCAACATGCTGACAGTATATCATTAGAGTATGCACTACAGGGTAGCATAATATAAATGTTTTAAACATTATTTTTATTTGTGAATATAATAATAATAATAATAATAATAATAATAATAATAATAATAATAATAATAATAATATAGGACAACCGAGAAAAGAAAAATAAAAATAACAATATTAACAATAGTAATAATATAATAATACAGTATATGATGGCAGGCCATAAGATAGCCTCTCTTCATTTCTGATAGAGGGTTCTTATTTTAATGTTGTTGCTTTTGTAAAATCAGACAAATCTCTTGAATTTCGCATACACTCTCTCATCTAGAATATTGCAGCAAGATTAAACATAAAAAGAAATATATACAGTATATTCATTCATTACACTTAATTGTTAATTCCAAGAAATATATCATGAGGTTTAATCATCCAGTGTAGATTGTACAAAGCAAACGGGTTGTTTTCAACCCTCAGATTTTAAATCATATCAGTCTGACATTGTTCTCTTCAATATTCTGTTAATCCTGTTACAATGCTACTATTTGCCTTTAATTGAGAATCTTTAACACCGAGCAGCATAACAAGAAATATATTAGTTTGCGTTGCACCTTATTAGAGGATAATAAATCTTAATGAATTACCAGAAATTCAATATACTGACATTTCTCTAATGTGCATTTTAAATCTGCAACTGGGCTCTCTTCATAAGAATCAACATTTTCACAAATTAAGATCACGCTAGAGAACTCTAGACAATATCATGTTATATTGTACAATAAATGATCATGTTAAGAATAGTTCTATCTTTGTTTTAGCATTTTAAAAACATTATAAACTCTCATTTCCAAGTTTAACTTTAATTCCTGCTTATAACTCCCAACAATTCTCATGATTCTTAATGGGAGTTTTCTAAGTTAGTAGATATAATTCCCTGTTATAATTCTCAATAATAATTCTTATATGGTTCTTAATGAGAGTTTTCTGAGTAAGTATGTTAGAATCATTCATAGAACTAGGACATTTTTTTAACTGGAAAAGGACTAAGAAATTCTATTGGTTAACTAAGGATTGTGTTTAATGAACACAAAGTAATTATAAAAGTTCCATTTACTTAGAGATAATTTGTTCATCATGCTAATATATGAATATCAAGCCGTTGGGAATAATCTGCCATTTTATTCCTGGCTTCTAATTTTATTCACATCAGGTAAGATATTTACATCCCCTGATACTGTTCCTCGTGTTTGCTTTCTCAACATGAAACAGAAGTTGAAGGTCCATATCTAAGTTTAATGTCTCTGTGAGCATTGCCTAAATGGACATGTTAGAACATCACAAGTCATCTCCGAGATAACGTGACCGCTGGGATGTGCTTTAACACACACTTTTTAATATTCAGAGACTTTACAAGAACGTTCGCTGAATCTTCAAGTACTTACCCTACACTTGAAAGATTATCAGTTGTTGCTTCTGAGTGGGAATGTAGACTAAACTCCACACTCTACTTAAGTGCAACTGCATCTCTTCAAATCTTCCCTCGCGTTGACTGAAACTTGGCTATAGTCTTTATGTACCTTGTAAAATCTGAAGTAGCATACCAACAAATTTCTCACCTTTAGCAATTTTTTGTAAATTATCAATAATCACATGTGTACCTATATGGCAACCATGTACCTTTCTGCCTCTTTTCAAGAGTTTGTAAGTCGAATATGATGTCATGTTGTGCCTCCTTACTTGCTCGTGGGTCATTAGTTCAATCGGTCAACTGGTATTGTATCTGTGATTTAACATTTTAGCTGGAAATCTTTTAAAATTTGTTTCCACACTAACTGCAAATCTTTCATTCTTCGAGTTGAGATATTTGGTTCAGCTCTTTAGTGTAAATGTAGATTTTAAAAACATCTGATTTAATTTGAGTCTATGGAGTTGACATTTCAGAAGCAATTGAATAGATGTTGAAATGGTGTACACAGATAACTGGAGACAGTAAAATTTAGATCAAGAATTTTCCAAGAAAAATTCCAAGAAAGAAAAAGGATCTATAAAAAAAGTAATAAATTTGAATACTCTCGTTGAAATGCTTTTTCGTATTTTTAATTACATTACTAGTTTTTATTTGAAAATGTAAACAATACAATTAGTCTTTAAGTGACTAACATCACTTAGGTTGCACTTCTTATCTTCTTCCAATCCTCCTAATAACTTTAAGGGGTGTATGAAAAGTCTGAATATCAACAAAAACTATAATTTATTTATCAAATATTACAGGAGATCCTGATCTATTCGGTGTATACTGAACATAAAATTGCATTATTAACGTTTATAAAGGCATTGAATAATGTGAAAAAAAACATCATTGAACAGTGCACAAGCAGCCCTCTGATATAAGCAATGAGAGGACTTTTTTACCAGTTTAACAATTTCAGGTCTTTGATTAGGGCCTCATTCCCAAACGTTTCTGAGCATCTTTTGACTATATATACATTTACATTTATGTCTGAACAAAAGACTAACACGTCCGTCACTTCAATTCAAGGCTAATAAATTATTAGCTAGATAGTACTTTGCATATTCCAAATTACCAATTTGGAATAGAAACATTAAACTACTTTAAAAACAGAGTTCTTGAAAGTGAACGTTATAGTAAGTAAAATAAAAGTTGTAATACCAATAAAAACAAAGTAAACTTTACGATTTTCTAGCTTTTTTTGGTTTTTAATATTTTACTATAAAATATCAAAAATTTTATGATAATTATGCTTTAGATTTTAAACTTAAGAGGAATGGTCAATATTTTTTATCTTAGATTCATCGAATATGTATGCATTTTGCAATACTTTTTACATGGTTTTATGGCAACTGCCAAACTTCATTTCAAAATTGAGAACATTTTACAGCTCCGGAAGGTGTCGTTAAAAACACAAAAGTGTAAATTTATCTGAATCATACTGAAAGAAAATCTAATATTATTCAACACCTCTGCACAATTTTAATAAGTATAGTAATAAAATGTCTTAGTTTCTACGGTTTTTAATACACGACCAACTATATAAAAATGTTCAAGATGATAATATTTTTTTGTAGACAAGAATTTAGAGGGAAATTTTTTCACCTACAATTCTTGTGTTTTTATGATCAACTTTATTTTTTCTACATTTATTTCTTCATTTTTTGTCTTCTATTAGCTACCTCCACTCTTTCTCATCTATCTCTGCCATGCTTCTTTTAAGTATTACTTCATTTATTGGTCTTGGTAGAACCTGTCTGTTTTATCATCTTCATTTTCCTTTTTCTTATCATTTCTTATATTCGTCCACTTCCTCTGCAATCATTTGTGCTCTGTCACACCTCATGAAGTTTCCTTCACCAAATTTTTTTTTTTTCTTATCTTACCCATCTCTTCTTCAGCTCTGTTCTGCCACTCAATCCTCAATTTGAGAATACCTGACACAACTTTAATGAAGACAGATTCATGCCTAATGCTGAATGATCAATTCTGACTTGGAGCTAAAATAGACATCATAATTCATATGTTATACTAAGCATGGTAATTAAGCTGTGATTTACCATTGAGTCAAACACCTGAAATCTATCTCTATGCTCAGGTTTCTTTTGCTATGCATAATTTTGCTATGCATAATTTTATTTAATCTTTAGCAAATTATTGTTTAATAGTAATGAAAATTTATGTTCTAATAATTATAATAATATTTTAAAACTTGATTTGTTGATGCCAGTAATTTTTTTTTTATACAGAAATAAATTGCTACTAAAAGCAAATTTAAGATATGCATTATTTTTAATTAATTATTTTATCATGGAGGCCTGTATTAGTACTTTCTTGATTTAATTTTTAAGTCTATACTTCGTACAAGCTTAAAACAGAAATTTTCAATTATAATTTACACAGCTATGCATCCATAATATCCCTGTCAAGTTTATAGCAGGGAGGTTATGTGAATTAGGTTGATCAGTGGTAAAAAGTATGTGGTTTAAGTATTATTTTTCTTGCTTATAAAACACTTAGTATTTAACTATTTTACTAAGGCCATGGTTTTCCCCCTGTAGGCTGTATACGAGGCCTGAAATTCCAGTGGTGGTTTCCTAGGAGATACAATGGAACATCCTCTGAAAAAGTCTGAATCAGATCACTGAAACTTCTAAATAGACTTCTGTGCTGGAGTTGATGACAGTAATAATTATATTATTTTAATAGTTTAGGTAAAAAAAAATATGATCTTATAATTAAAATATAAATATAACATTAGTGTTCATTTGCATTAATTTACTGATAATATTATTATTTTATTATTAATTATCAATGATCGTCATCATTATCATTGATAATAAAATTGTAAACAAATTAAATATTACAAAGGTATTTTTTTCATTATATTTATATGTAGATAACAGGATACTATTCCATTTATTTTAATTAATAATAACTATGCTATACAAATTAGGTACATCTGTAAAATTATTTAATTTATATATTAATTTCATAATTGTACTATACATCTGAAATCTCATTTTTTAATCCTAGGTGATTGTAGTCATATGACTAGTCAGGTGTAAATCATAGGGTAACCTACAATAGCCTTAATTTAATTGTCATAAAGTAATTTTGCTAACCAGTTGAAAAATCTCTTACTTCAGTTTCTATGAAAATGTAAAGTTGATTGTAACACACTGATTCCTATATCCATTGTCCCATGAGACTGAAAATTTGTGTCTTAATATAGTTGAAGAAATCAAATCACTGCGCTCACTCGTTGCCATGGAATCAACAAAAGTAGGTCTTTAGATCTGACGATGAAATTTCTGCAAAGTTAAAAACAAATTCACAAATCTATATAAATGGAATGGTAATTGCTCATTAGATTGTCAGAGCATTATTGGAATTTTTGTTTTATTGCGTTCAAATTTGTTGAAGCCACTACTGTTTTTTTTTTATTTTGTGCAAGAGATTGATTTTTCTTTAATTGTGCCTCTGTCTTGTCCCTCTCTTCTTCCCTCCTGTTTCTCTCTTTATCATCTCAATCAAAAACAAATTCTAATTTAAAACAAAAATACAGTTTCATGAAATTTTTACTACAAAATTAAGGCATATTTAGGTATTGGATTTCATGTATAAACAATCAGTTTTATAATTAAAGGAAGCAAGCTAGAAAGTGGGATTAGAAACAAGAATAATGGTTGCAGGTGTATTTATGTGGATGTTGTTGATACTTGTGAATTTGGAGGTTATTTGATGAAGCTATACCTTATTCAGGTGTGTGAAGCTGTCAGAAAAATAGAAGAATGATTGATGGATGCGTCTGGATTGATTTTCATTCTCGTTGTTTTCAAGATATTCTTTACCTGTCAGAATGATTGATTATTGAAAATAGGACATATGACCATGCACATCGAAGGTTTGCAAATGATACAGAAACTATCTGAGCTAGCAATTTATATAGGTTTATTGAAGGAGTAGAATGATAGTATAAAGTATAAATTTGCATCTTGGTAAATGAAAATGCGTTGTTACAAATATACTCGCTTCATCAATATAGCTTTTATTGCAGGCACCACATACGTAATGTCGTAATGCAGAGTTCAAATCAGCGGGTAGTAGGAATTTAGTCCTGATTTACAAGTGGATGTATAATGCTTTATGGTCTTACTAAAATTCCACTACGGAAAAAAATATGTTTGTTAGCTATTGCAGGCCGCAGTCCAGTAATGATTGGCGATAATGACAATATTCTTTTAACGCAAAATGCTTAACATGGTCAATTAAATGCATTACATTTCAAAAGATATCTGTAAGGAAGATACAATATTCATACATGCACACTTAAATTTATAATTTCTTCATAGATGTGACATTATTTCAAATGCAATTATGTTTAATTGTAAATAATTTCAAATATTGAAAAGAAGGTATATAAGAATTATTTTACCCATACTGTCTTATAATTCAAGAATATGAATAATTTTTGTATATTGTTTTAAAAGTAATAAATGTAAAATTTCTATAAAAAGAATCATGTGATGATGTGATTATGGGGTGTGAAGGGAATTAGTAGGTTGTGTTTGAAGTTTTTTGCTTAGGTAGAAAGCTTAAAGCTTGGTGGGAACACAATTTACTATAATAAACATAATGTATTTATTTATGTATTGCTCTATCAGTAATGGTACAATTGATGTTATCTTTCTTTTTGTGTTCCCAGTGCCTAGCATTCCTCGTGCTCCCGTTCATTCCCGCCAGTAACTTGTTCTTCCCTGTAGGATTTGTAGTAGCGGAACGTATACTGTATATGCCTAGCATGGGATTCTGCATGTTGGTAGCTCTTGCATTCCAACTTGTTAATGAAAACTTGTAAGTATAATATTTATTTTTTTTTTCTGTGTATTGGTTTCATGTGATTTTGTGGAAAGAACTTCCAATTCCTCATCCTACCCGCTCCCATAAAATTTGGCAGAAGAAAGGTAAGCCAATGGTGAAGGCCACATCCGAAGATAAAAAGACTCAATCATGCCCACAGAAAAAAAACCCAAAATAACCATAGGCAAGATCAAGTTTCTTCTTAGTTGCTTGGTTTTACATCACGTTGTATTCATGCTGTATTTTTGCTGACCTTAGAGCACCATTCATATGATATGTAATTTCCTGGCGGTCAACTTTGCTGCAGTTGAAGGACCCCATTTTTCCGTTGCCCCAAAGAGATGTGTTGCATTTTTGTAAAGCCATTAGGTATACTATATCTTTTCACATGTTTGTGAACTGTTCAAACATATCTTTTTCAGCTAATGAATTGTGTTTTCTTAATTTACCTCCAATGCCTTGCAGGCATTCAAAATCTTCATTTCAATTGACAGTGATAGATGTCCGTAGCAGCCTAGGCGCTGCTGCTAATGTTGTTATTACTCCACTGTTTGTCGTATACTTCTACTACACTGTCCTGTATTACTTCATTTCATCATGCATATATTTTAACAAATATTCAACACATTCATAAAACAATCAATACATACATACACAACTTTAAAAGTGGCTTTGAAATTGCTTAATTTAGTGTCATTAAATTATTTATTAGGCATACCATATAATTATACATCCACTAGAAATAGCCAACTTATGAAAGCACATGTATTAATATTACCAGAAATATTTTTGATGTCGCATTTAATATTTTATATTTCTACCCTCAGTGGTGCTAAGCGGCAAGTATTTGCTGTACTTTCTCTACTTTTGTTAGCATATGGCTCCAAGACATTTAGGAGAAACTACGACTGGTAAGTTTTAAGCAAATATATATGCATATATCCTTTACATATAGATGTAACAATAATGTTTTTTCTCTAAAATGTAAAATATCATACTATTAGTACTGTACAAACACACACATAATTATCAAAATTGTAGGAACAATTAATCCTTTAACAAAAATGTTTCTGATCAATTGTATGAAAAAATGCTGGCAGGAGTTGAACCCCATCCTCTCGCTGTCAAGGCAAGTGTCATTCCACTAGATCATGAAAGCCTATATGCATATCACTGATTCAGTTCAGCCAGGTCACTTTCTCACAACAGATGTGTGCCCTCACCTAGTGAAGCTATGGCAGCCTATAGACAATTTGTAAGAAATTGTAAAAATTATGGAAAATAAATCAGAGTTTCTGTTGGGAATTAAAGTATATTGTCCAGTTTACTGGCATTGAGACACTACAAACATCATTTTTTCTACTTCATCTTACGTAGATTCCATGACATTAGTAGAATTAGTTTTTTTCTACTAGCTTGCTATGAGAACTCATTGTTTGAAAACTTGGTGTTAATTATAGGCTGGTGGAATGTAATTATATTTATAATTTTACTCATTCTTCTCTAATAAAAGTAATTTATATTTAAGTACTAACAATTTGTTTTTGCGTGCAAATCGATAGAAGTCAAAGCGAGATCGATTTAATGTATGTTGGAGAATTTTTTTACCAGCAAGAGATGCGGAACGGAACGTAAGATCGGATTAACTAGTTTGATCTTCAAACAGCTTTTTTACAGCAACTGTAGTTTCAGTGCAGAGCCTTTGAGTGGTTTAAGGATGCATGTAATGGGACATCGTGCAGATAACGTGTATTAATTATCCATGTATATATGGATAGGATGCAGCGGAAGATTAGTGGCTAGGATAACGATTCTAGAGTATTGTTAAGCTATTTAAGACTCGACTGAACATCTACCTCAACAAATCACCGTGCTTTCTAAGTGCATATGTTTATGCACATTCGTGACTGTATGTATATTAATTAAAAATAACTAATGTACAATATTTATTAAACATAATTAATCTAAAACTTTCCTAATTTAAATGTTTTAATTAAAGGCCTTCAAGGACTCCAAAAATACAGTATATAAAAGTATTTTATACCAAAGCACTGATCAGATGAGATTGAAAAATGAAAGTGTTCTTTTTTATACAGTTGGTGGATAGTGGATTGGTAGATGGGCGGGTAGGTAGATAAGTGTGTGTTTGTGAACAGGTGGGTTGGTATGGGTGTTCGGATAGGTGGGTGGGAAGATGGATGGACAGGTGGATAAGGGAATGTTGTGTAGGCAGGTATGAATTGGTGGATAGGCAGGTATGTCAGTGGGTGGGTTGGCTGATTAGTGGATGGGTAGATGGATGACTAGATCTCTTTTTGTTTATTATGTATCCACATACACTGTGTAGTGTACTGTACCACCTTTTATTTTTTGTAAATATATATTTCCAATACATTGGTAATTTATTTAGTATTATAGATATGTAAATGTCATGCATCATATTATTATTATCATTGTTATTATTAATATTCAATTGATGAACCATCAACATTTGTAAAATGACAGAATCCACTGCAGGCAGTATTTGCACAGACATTAGCAATTATTGTTGTTTCATTTTTGTTGATGCTACTGATGTTGTTGCTGTTATTAATATTATCTTATTATTGTGTTTGTTGAATACGAATAAACATTCTCTCTCCTAATAACAGGCTAATAA